GTTTCTGCTGGCATGTGAAGAGATTGCGTCATGTAAGGAGGCCAATCCATGCTGAAAATCGGAGTGCCACTGTACAGCTTTTCCACTCCTAAGGCAAAACATCAGCAGCGCGGATCTTGCGTAACTCCAAGGAGTTTCGAACCTGTGACTATTCGGTCGTAGCTGAACAGCTGAGCGTTCATTCACGAGTAACTAATCGCTTACCGGATGAAATCTCCATTGAAAATCCCTAGATCTCCTCGCATTCCCAGTAAGCTATGAGTAGCCCAGAGGAAGAAGTACTCAGACAACAAGCAAAACCTTTATCTGTGAAGCCACCACTCGAGGAGTCCGTCAAAGAGTGATGCCAGTTTCGTGACTGAAAGATGAGGGACCACGTGGCTTGCCTAAGTGCAGGTTAATCACACTGTTAATTAGCCAATCGTGGCCTAAATAGGTCGCGAGTTCGAACCCCCCGGAGTTTCGTGAGATGTGCTCAAATGCCAACCTCCTGTCAACAAAAAATCTAAATTATCAAATTAGTATTAGTTCGAAACTTTGCAGAATGTGAAAATAAAAATACCAAAGTTTCCTTGCCTCCTACAATCTATTGGGAAAGTCGCACTCGTTAAACGCTACACATTGTGGCACCTTTTTTCAAATTAGGGACATCACACTGTTTTTCAATCCAAAAGAATATCGGTGTAACGGTGGGTACTACTGATAAGGCATGTGAGTAGTATATAGTTTTCTCGCAACTCCACAAAGGGTTTTCCTTCTTAACCGGTAGGATGGGGACGATTTCCACCAAGTTTCCTTCCAAGGTTACCTCATGCGACAAGATAACTTTGGCGTCTTGGTTTGAAAATCAGAGTTGTACGGCCATAGCTTACGGACTTCCCCGAACAGCGAAACAGGATTTATCAGAAAAACGTATCTCAATGATCCCAGAGTATCCTTCCAATCATGTATTATTCATTTGAACTATCACCACCAGGTCATCGACCACACTGCCTTGTATTTACCTGCAAGGTAACCTAACTGAACTTTTACAGAATATCCTTACTAGCGATCCTCCAGCTATATGCTGAAGATATAAGGCGGTTCAAGTACAAACTCCGGATCGGATTCAGAAATGAATTGAATTGTAACTCAAGGCCAATGATTACAACTTCTCCACAAACTGCAGTCCGAAAATCAAGCAGCTTGCCTGGACAAGCGCAAAGGACTGCCATCTTCATTCAGTGACCGTTTCGTGAACTTTATTCCCTGACCTCTTCAGCGGAAAGCTGTATTTCCTGTCCTCATACTGTAATAGAATCCCCACACACAGAGAATCAAAGAGAAATTCGTTTCTGATCTGTTTGTTTTGCCTCGATTTGCTCCACTGTTTGTACGGCCAGCTGCTTTCCTGATAAAGTACTGATAATTCATGCTGAATAAACAACGCGCGATCGGGTATGTGGAAAATGCGTGAAATTGGATTGTTGCTTTGGCCTACCAACTCGTATCGGGCACGTGGAAACAGCCACCGAATGATAAGTGTTGTCGCTGTGTTCCTTGCTTGGTATGCATGGTATGACTGTTGGATGCACTTATCTTGACAAGACAAGCGGAGACACTTTGGGCAATTCACCCCATACATTGGGCTGATGTCTTGGTGGATAAGGGTGTGACTTTTATGGAGTTCCGTCTAGATGGTTGTCAGTATCTACTAGATCGTATGTATTTATCACGCTCATCCGTTACACAAGCGTCTAAGCCACTTACTGTCGGTACCATCAAAAGAAATCCCTCACGGTCAACACCCTTCTATAACGTCAACAAGTATACTTATTGAATGAGTGTAGCATTACAAAGGAGATGGTAACACTCGCATCCTGTTCAAACCCAACTAGTGAGTCTGATCAATGTGGACATCCTATGTGAGACGTAAAGTAGGGTGTATAAAATTCCATGAAAAATATGTGAAAAGCCTCCCGGAACTCACATAATGCTCGAATTTTGTCAAAAGCGGTGAATTGTTTGTCTTTACTAACTGCGTGACTTACTTCCGTAAAATTTCTTTCAAATGAACTCCTCCCCGGGTTCGAATGGGGTAACTTGCACCTACAGTGATCTGCAAGCGACCGGTTAGGTTTTCAATATCAGTGTGCGTATCATTAATCTGCAGTTGTAACCAACATCATTCGTTCTTAAATAAAAGAATGCTGGCGATTATGCCTGTTTCTTTACTGCGTGCAGTTAAGTTACGACAAACCATAACTACGTGTGCTCCGGAGCGACAGATTACGAGAGTTTGAGACAATATTCCTAATGTGACCGCACCAATTCAGCGAGCCCCATAACGATACACCGTTTGTTTTGTCGAACGAAAGGAATGTCGCCTTATAAAAAATGCAGTGGACTTCAGCAATAAACTCCTCTCTAGAAGGATCGCACCCCTGGTAAACACACTCCAATATTACATCAGGGAAATTCACCTGCTTCCCACGCTTTGTTTACTCATCACCACCAACCCCCTTGACTGGTTGTTTCTTTTAACTAATAAGCCCATCATGTAGAAAGAATTATCTCTGAGAAGGAACCCTTTTTGGTCAGTCCATCCAAGTGTTTTGGGGGGCGATTGGATGACCATTAAGTGACAACCTGAAAGTAGTGGCTAAAAGCGACCTCTGTCGAGACAGAACTCTGTCTGGGAAGGAGCTTACAAACCAGTCAAGGGCACGTCACCAAGTGCAACAATAAAGTCGGAGAGTGCATGCGAAAAACGAACCTACTGAAAATTATTTGGGACGTCAGGTTCCTCATGAAGAAGCTTTTGCCAATTACACGTCGAACCGCTTCCTGTTGATATTTTAGTTGTTTATTTCTCCCGAAAAGCCTGCTAAATAATAAGTGTCTACTTGAAGGAACACCACTTATACGGTTACTGAACAACCGTCAGACGCCCACGATCGGTTTCGCCTCTCCATTTCACACTCATCCTATGGACACAATCCTTAAGTTTCCATCAACTCCATTTTCTGATTGAACCCAAATTGTACGAAATTCGCGGAACACACCCAATCGCAACCAATTTCATTTTTCAAAGAAACTCGGCTGGATTCTGGGTGAAACTCTCGTCTATGATATTATTCAGCTAAATGTGCTGAACAGAGGCCTCCTCACGCTTCATTTGGGATGATATTAGAAATGACTGGACCGGGAAGATTATGGCCCATAGGATGCCATCGTTGATCATCTTTTCTCCTGCTTTTCTTTACCGGATAAGGCTTCCTCTCAGTAGACTCATCCTTTGTCGTCCTCTCAAGTTGGCACCCCAGAAGGACGGCTGGCCATGCGTAAGCAAACAAACACGCCTGTTTTGGTGTCCTCAGAATCTATACACAGCTAACGTCGGTCGCATACTAAGGGGATCAACCGAACCACCGAATCTCCAACGTCAGTTAGCGCAAACATTTTCCAACTCTGTTCATTCCCCCTGCCCTACACCCCCTTTTCCAAGAGATTCTGACTTCCTTGCTTTTTGGGATATCCAGGCACCCAATCCTCAACCAGGGTGGTGAACTGCTTCACTTGGTATCTTTGTTGATGGAGTTCATGAGACTCGTCGAAGGGCTCCGATGAAGCGACGTGTTACATGCTTTGACGTAACTTCCGTGTTAGTCTGTTCGGTCTGGAAAAACACTGGTCCACTTGGCCGTGCAACGACCATCCACTGTGCTCATTTTCAAATGCAGTGGTTTTCGCTTCTATTCGGGCGGACTTTGACGAATGTAAAAAGTGTATTTTTCACTAGTGACGGTAATGGCAATCTAAATATGATTGACACCTTGACAACCCTGATCATGTTCGGACGCATTAGGAAGAGGTTCTGGGTCACTATGCGTAACTACTTATCTCGTAGACTAAGCATCAGAAGTGCCAAATAAATTCATCATTAGGCCCCTCAGTCTGCTATCTGAGTGGCCCTGCGGGGATATCAACAACGAAATTACGGGTGCATTGGTAGCTTTCGATTGTCCATCCAGAAAACCTGAGCCTGAGCGAGGAGGGTTTTGAGGCATTCGGTGAACACATGTCTAGGTAAAGTGCGTCAAATAAATTGTAGAGCTGCTTTCTCCGAAGGACCTGTTATCCCGCACGAACGGATGATCCTAGACCGACCTTGCAAAAGATAAGGCATTCGGATCCCGAAACGAGGTTGTTTGTGCTTAACGGAACTCAGTCCTGAACAAAGATAAATCATCCGTAATGGTGGTTTAAATTGTTCAGCCAGTGGATCTGGCTTAATTGCGATATTTTCCGAATTTATTTTATGTTTGGAAATTCGTGAACCTCCGGAATAAATGATTTATTCAAAGGCGGCCAAACCGCCTGTCCAGAAGAGATTCGCATCTCTACCTTTGTCCTGAAAGTCAGCCCCTTTGAACTGTAACCTGTTTTCTAATGGAATCGAATATATTCTTCCCTTGGAGCGAGGCTAGCAGCAGGAAAGTCAACCATTGTTCTACATCCTAACCTTTTTACTGCGGTAGATCACTGTAGGCTGAGGCTGTTCTGATTTTGGCCCGGTTACTGGACACTTTTGCTGATGCTGACCATCAGTAGCCTGTCGAATTATTCTGTTAGTTCGATGCTTATTTCTATATGTTTTGGTGAATGAATGAGAGGAACGACACCCATTTCATGCGTGAGCAAGACTTATCCCATCCGTCACGCTGCTGTCTGAATCTGGTTTGCAGCGCACACGTGTGACGTGCCTTCCCTCTCATTCGTCGATTAGACAACACTCCCCTATCGCTGAATTTTCTCATTGGACAAGTGGGTTAGCGTGGCCGAACTACAACCAATCAGAATGCAGCCGACCCCGGCAGTCCTGACGGCCATTCGGACATGCGCCTAGCTCACATCTGACCGGCAATTAAATACCGCTGTAATTGCCCTGACAGACCGGCCTGGTGTTTTGCTGAATGGTGGAATGAGTAAAATTCAGCGACCTTCTAGCGTAACTTCAGATGAGTATGGACTGGAAGAACCTAAGTAAGTCGCTTTCGTCTGTGTTGAATATATGTGCTTCATCCCTATTGAGGCTCACCGACGGTTTCTACCTGGGTGACAATGCAATGGGTTCTTACGGGATTTAATTTCCTTGTCTTTGATTTCGGTTCTTTATTGTGGCCAGCCAGGAAGCAAACTGACAGAGAATACTTGAGTTCTCTTGGATGGAAGACTGGCTCAGATAAATAGTGTGAGCAGGTGGACAATTTAGGTCAACTTGGTCAAATCTGGTCTTTAACGAGGCTCAACTAGTCCGGCAATGTACATAGGGATTCGTGAAAGCTGCACTACTGGAAAGATGTGCCACTCCAAAAGTTTACGTCGAACATTTGTTTTACGTAGTATTCTTTAAACCTGATTGACCAGTTGACGTAAACTAGTCCCAACATCATAGTTTTACCAACTGTACCGGCCTAGCGGATTCTGGTCCCAATTGAACGCAATGTACAAATCGTGGTTCACACATATTGGCCAACATCTTTACCTGCAGTCTATTCTACTAGAGTACTGCCTTTGTGTTGGTGTTGTGCAAACACTAAGTTATGTCATAGGTAGTAAAGTAGGCTCAGTTTTAGCGTGCAGAATGTCCCTGAATAGCTGTTTAATTCCATAAATAAAAAATGTGTAAAAATTTCCATAAAACGTCAGCAATGATATCAAGGTAAACCTAAACAGTCTATCATCGACTGCGAGGCATGGCAGAAAGAATGAAACGGTCGTAAGCTTCGAGACCATGGTTCCATTCTGGATTGCGCTTCCAAAAATCAGGATGTACTTCCCTGTTCACCTTGTTAGACTAGTTCACGGCAAACGAATTCTGATAGACCAACAAGGATAACAGTTTTTTTCCGTCTTGGATATGTAAGTGCAAACGTGACGGGTATATTTTGCCTAACAGACCCTCTTTTTGGCTGATTGGAAATGAAACTTTTGCAATGCAGTTGCCAAGCTCAACGAGCAGACTAACAACCAAGCGGGGCACCCGAGCTACATATATTACGCAACACTGCCAACAAAGCTTACAGCCATCACGCACATTTGAACCGATAGTTCAAAGTTTACGGAATCTTATCTTTCGACTTTTTCCCCTAGTTACTATTTGCAGTGACTTTTTATAGCAATATTCACCTAGAGCAATTCAGTTCGATTTACCAGATACAAACTGCCTACCATAGGCACATTGGTTTTGATCACCGGAAAACGGGAAAGTGGAATACAAAACCAAACCCTGGAAGGCGAAGGCTGTGCAGTTTGTTCGGAAATTGGGTAGCCACGCATTGAAAGCCATAGCCTTGATTCACGAGCGCCACTGACTGTGCGACTGGGCTATTTCTGTCAGTGTTAGTAGCTATTGGTGAGTTGAGTCCGGGGTTCCCATCCAAGGAGGCGGCAGTTGTCGAGCCGACTCACTCTACTGTCTAGTGTTTTCACACTTCGTTGCCAGGTCATACACTGTCCACCTCTCCGTTGCTTCCACTCAGCACAGGGCTGGGTGAAAGAAGCTCTACGAGGCAGGCAGTCTTCTGGCATGTAGAGTGACTGTTCTAACCAGCGTAAACTACGAAGTGTGAATAATTCATCTCTCACTGGAGAGGTGCTTCTTCCTAAGATCATCTGGCGTACGTCCGTCACGCTAATCGGATGTTCGCACCAGATCCGACCAATGATTCGAAGGCATCAATGGTCAGACATTGACATCTTTCGTATGTCCTCTTAGCGTAGAATCCATATCTCGGATCCATAAAGCAGTATAGATCGCATCGCTGCAGTGCAAACTCTGCTCTTAACAGACAAGCTGGTTTCACTTCGATGCCACAGATGTCGGAGGTTAACGAAAGCTGCCCTGAGCGATTCGAGATTTAATCTCATCTCCAGTCAGTCTACCAGGACTTATACAGTTGCCCAAGTAAACAAAGTTATTGATCACATCGATTGGCTCGCATGAGGTTTGGGTTTGATCCAGCCCAGTCTTGTATCAGAACTTTACACTTCAGGTGAGCAGTGTATTCATTCACCTAGAGCGCTGTTCATTTAAGAAAAAGAAGCAAGACTGCTTGTTGGAAAAATCATTTCTAAACGGTGATGATTCGGCAGCGTAGAGAATACTCCCCAAAGACATGCGAATTGCCCCGATTTCCGAGCAATTAAGTGTCCGTTGAAAAGTCAAGTGTTTCACAAATTATTCTTCCACACCTCTGATCATTACCAGTGGACAATTAAACCACCGATCTGACATGCTTGCCGTTTTGATGGAACACTTGAGCGCGCTCGATAAATCTTTGTGGAAAATGTGTCAATTAGCCCTATGACACAATGAACTGGATGGCCGTGAACTTTGTCACACTGGGATGACGGGCAAGTTCAACAGCCGGACCATCGACTGACATGTCCAGAATGATTTTGAAGTGTTTGGAGAGTGCGTCACACACCCCCCTTCACCGCCCTTGAACTATTAGGGATACCGCTGTCTCGTTTGTTCTTGTCTAACGGGTGATTTGCACGAACAGATTAGATTTCTTATTGCCCACTTCACCACCGAAGAGATATTGAAACTATAAGAGGGCCTGAAGTTTCTCAAGATGTTTGGATCCCACTGCCCATTTGACTGACTTGGGTGTGCTCAAATTATCTTCTCTGTAGGGAAAATTCGGTTTCGTTTCAGACCGATCGCTGCTAACACATCCGTTTTATTTTAGATCACCTTACGCTGGACTTATCGGAGCCGATCGGAAACGTCGACGCGGGGTAAGTCCGCGTATGAACGCCAATTACCTGAACAATGTTTACTGCTAAGTTCCGATTGACCTGGCTGAAGAAATTACTAGAAAGATGGGTTGGCCTATCGACTGTCATTTACCTCAGCATTAGCACTGTTCATCTACTGTTGGATGGACATAATCTGCACGTCGACGTCACTGATTTTTAGACTACCTGTTCAGTAGTCGGAGTTCACTAAATGCGCCAACATTCTGGTTCAACTCACACAAGTTGAGCGGAATAAAAAACACAACCACTTATGTGAAGACTTGATTCTTTTCATTGTTCCGGTCGATTTGTCGTTTAGTCTCCTGAACCGAGTGGCATTTTATCCCCCGGTGTTTTTCAGGCAAAAATCACATTTACGCTGGTTTAAATGGGGATAAGGAAGTTCTACTTTTCGACCAGTCCGAGCACTTTGAATCCTCTCCTAACTCTTTCTGCGAACATCTGAGAAATTCCAGATGGAATGGAATTTCAGGCGCATTACCAAACACCAATTACTTATTAGTTGGTATCGAAGCAGCTACTTGTGGCTAGTCTCGCCTCCTTTTGTTTTGACTTTTAGGATGCCCATCGTTATTCGACAAAGCCAGAATTGGTTCGCCCATAGCAAGTTCAGTATTGATGACTTTCGAGTGTGTTTAAAACAACGAGCGATCCTAGCATTGATGTTACGAGTTTACTGGTTCCATAAAAGTTAGGCACTGGTGTTTTCTGTTGTACATCACAAAAAGTGTACAGGAATGGCCAAAGGTACAGTTAACCATAACACACCATCAACCCCTCCCTAACTCAACCATGATGTGCCGGTATTCCATATGACAAGCACGTGATCGCGATAAATGCCATGGGTAACACTTTGATTGGGGCTCCACGACGGAAATTGTGATGGAGTGATTAGTTGTCACCCGATTCAGAAGGCTAAAAGTTCGGATAAGAAAGCGAAAAGCAGTCTGAAACCACACGCTTCGCATCTGTTGGTGAACTAGCCCACTTACGAGTTACTGTGCCGACTTGACTGGCCGTATCCCTCACTTTTCATACATCGATAAACCCTAAATTAATGTGCTTCGAAATGCATTTGTACACGGCAAGATGCCAGGTAGTCACGGCCTGCTTCAGCAGCAACCTCAGTAGCATTTCAGACAACTAGCTTCATTTTGATTGGAATATTACATTTTTCTTCTTTTTAGGTGATTGAAAAGCGCCGACGGGATCGAATCAACTGTAGTTTGTACGACTTGAAAAAGTTGATACCTGATGTATCGCGCAAACCGGTGAGTTCCCCGTTCGGAATAAAGTTAATCAGTAATGGTTTGTTGGTTCGTATCGTCGAAGTTTGCAGGGCGTACTTTGTAGTTGTCCACATTTAAACTGGGTCTGTCTCTACAGCAGTTGTCTTTCGACTGGAACCAATCAGCGCTAACTTAGTTGCTATGGTGCATCTGGTCGACTAGGCTGTCAGTGAACAAGCAGACAAGTGATAGGGCTTATTGATAAGCCGCGACACGGAGCTCCGATTGTTTGTGCGGTCGGTTACGACGGAGATGGAGGGAGGTGTCATCTTGCTTGTGCCTGAATCTTATCTATGTGTACGTGGTCAAAATTTTGTTGGGTAAACGATCACACCTCAGTATGTGTGCGAAACGTCATCACCTGAACTGAAACGAAATCCCTTTGAATTTTTCAATAGTTTGACGGTAGTAGCTAGGGTAGGGAGAGTGGACAGATTTGGGTTCTGTAAGGATCAGTGCGAGTTACGGCACGTCTGGTCCCCGTCTTCAACTGCACGTCCTATGGGATAGTCAGTATTGTCATTGTGACCCCACAGAATGTCCCACAGGATCTGTTACACATTTGGTTGCAGGGCAATGAAGTTGGGGGAAGGAAGTTCCAAGTATAACATAAGCGCGGTTTTAAGGTCACTCATGTAGGATCGAAATTCTAAATCTCGGGTGAATTCGAGTAGTCTCGTCGTTCTCATCGATTCGTGGTATCCCACACTCAGTATAGTATTCGAACCTCAGAAGTCAGTCAGATACCTCCAGTAAGCATGGATCGACAGGAATTCGGACCACCTCACCAGTTTGACAGAAGTAGACGAAAGTGTGGAATGTCCTGTATGCTTTTTCGTTTCCGCTTAGTTATTGTAATAATCGGCTTGAACAGTGTCCTTAGGAGTGTCCCAGGTAATTTTGGCCAAAGTTGGAGAAGAAAATAGTACTGGATTTTTTCATAATGGAAACTACTCACAAGGTTGCTGAAAACTCCTCAACAGCCCACGACAGGTTTCACCCTTCTTAGGGCGCTGTCCCCAAGTTTCCGTCAACTTGATGTTCTACTTGAACCCCAATTGGACTGTTTTCGAGAAATACACTCATTTGCAAATCAATTTGGTTCCCACGAGATACTCAACCGAATTGTTTATGATATCCTACAACTGAGCGAGTAGTTTCATTTATGAAAATATACTGCGATTTCTCGAATATCGTGCCAACTGAATCATGAGGTGGCCTGTGTGCAGCACATTCAGCTGGAGGACATCATAAACGAGAGATTCATTTGAGTCTCCCGTGAAAACCAAATTGATTTGCATATGAGTGTAGTTCTCGAAGTACTGGATTTTCTCCGAATCCCCCGTACCGAATTAGTCAATCGCAAAATAAGTGACTTAAGTGTCAGTTTAAACGGTTGTGACAGAGTTTGGTCAGTTTGGACGATGCACCTTCAGTGGACGTTATTGCGTTTTATACTGCTTCACTTTTTTCTTCGAACCTCAAAGGCAACTTTGACTGTGTGTGAAGTGGTGTGCAAAAATCATCACAGAATGTAGCCGGAACATAGATCAAGTTCCGATAGCCACGTGAAAAATCGAACACGACTTATTTACAGTCGAACTATTCTGACCTTTAACCGCTTTGACCTCATGATGCAACAAGTCGATTTTCTGAGCCAGAAATTCACCTCCTTCTAATGACTGTCTAACTGTTTTCATACGAGGAGTGAAAAGGGGGAGCGAGCGGAATATAAACTCATCACAGTTCGGTGAGTGTGTTAGCGCCATCTGAGTAAGTGGAATAACTCCGCCCCGATTCCCTTAGTTGTTTAACTGGTTGAAATCGTCATTTAACCATGCAATCTGTCATTAACCAGTGCGAGTTGTCTTCAAACCTGCGTGTAGATGTTATAGTAAGAACTGCACCATGCAAAGGACAAGTTGGGTTCAGTAGTGACGCCAAATTAGGAGGTTGACTAAAGCAGATTGCCAGCTCACTAACACCAAGGCAAGTGCCATGTGGTGGAGAGTAGCCCCATGTGTTGAAGTATCACCCCCGAGTGTGACATGAAAAACCTCCACAAAACCTCGTTTGTGCGTGAGACAAACAAATCGAGCGGTCCTCCAAGCCAGGCCATCCTCAACAATGGCCACTTCATTCCAGCTTCCATAGAGGACCATCCTAGGGTGTCCCTTTGGCGTGAAGATAACCAGCAACACAGTCAGGTCTGGGGTAATCTGACACCAGCTCAATTTCTTACGACTGGCAAGTAGATGAAATTTTCTCGCGGTTGATCGGAGGTCCTTAAACTGACTTCGATTTGGCAAGCATAAACTAACTGTAATTCCTGAATACATTACTCGAGTAAATGTATATCACAACAAATTCATACGTACTATGCCCAGTGAGCAGTAAACCCGTCCTTACTTCTCAAGCAAACGTTATTCATTTATTCATCTTCAGCTACCTGGAAGATGACTGAATAGCATGCAGTGTTTCATGCTGCAGAGGATCAGCTGAGTGACGTGTCACTGTACTACATATCGATCAGTTGCAAAACATCCAATTCACTCCGATCAATAAAAACCAACGCTTCAGTCTTGGAGCCATGAATCTTTTCCGCTAGTGCGCTTTGAAACCATGCAGTCTCTCACAGGCTTTCTTTCAATGTTGTCATATGTATTCACCTAGTAAAGCACAGCTTCTCTAGTAGGGCGACAAAACCCCGAGGTTGCAGTCCACCCGATTCTTCCATCATGTTACTTATCTCTATCTGCAAATCTGATGTCAACTATTAGCAGGGTAACTAGAATGAATACTTACATAGCAGGAACCGTTTATCAGTGACTAGTCAGGTCAACCCTGCAACATGACATGTGGAGTTCAGTTTACAACAATGAGAAACTCAACTGAACCGTTTAGGGCTCTGCTCAAACACAATGCGAGGCAACAAACATGAGGACAGCTGCTGCGCAAGGAACCTATGCACATATCTTATTTGCATGAACGGTGAAAACCTCAAGGAACTCGAGGTTTTACTCACTATATTTGCACCTGCTGCTCCCAGTAGCTGAAATCGCAAGGGAAGTCAGCTGTACGATCATTAAACGAATATTGCTCATCGCAACTCCTGGTCTGTCGGTGGGAGAGAAAAGCGTGTTCCTCCTGAGCAGCTCTATCCTTCTAAAGCCATTACGGTGTGTGTGTGTGTGGGTAAGGGAGAGTTATGATGATCTATCTGCTTTGTGTCAGTCGCTGAGGGAAACAAGGTGATCCAAGTTGAACGCGTAGGAATGTTCTGTGTTCTCCTTCTTGAGTCTGTCTTCTGACTGACTGACACAACGGCCAGCTGCATTGCCAATTAGACCCCGAATGTTCCATTTCCCCACTGCACCCTTCATTAGAAGTAACGAATGAGTGGGGCATCTGCAGCGCCTAGACACATTGTAAGTGAGGAGAAATAGTAGATGTTTATGCTCCAAACGTTTCTAGTGAGAGAAAAATAGACCCTAATTTATCGAAGGAGTCTGTCAAATTTGCTCAAATGCATGCGACGCCAGGCTAATCACCAAACGTTCGATTTTACAAAAATGTGACCCAATGCACTCAAAATAACGGTTGATTATCTGTTGTAACATTGACTGACCTACTCCGTTGACTTGCTGCGTTTTTCCAGGGTTCGTCAAAGTTGGAGAAGGCGGAAATTTTGCAGTCGACGGTTGATTTCATCCACCGGCTCTACAGTGAAGGTGAGAGCTTAAGTCAATCCGTGTTTACTCACGCTTTTGTCAACAAATCATGATTCTTTCAGGCTAGTTGAAAACAAACAAATTCCTCCCCTACGAAAGGGAACGGAATGCATGAACCCCTTAATCCCATAAGAGTAGAGTTTTGCTCAAATGAACTTTGGTGTTCGAACTGGATATATTTAGACTTCAAGGCGTAATTATTTTAAACTTGTCTGGGGTTTTTCCTAGAGGACCACTCTTTCATTTTTTTGGAATAATCATTCTTGAACCTTTTGATCCAGTTATTCGCGGCGCTTGTATCAATTGCGGCGTTTCAGAAGACCACGTTTTAGACTTCTAAGTATCTCTCTTATCTTTGACGACGGTGCCACATATGTCCACCAGGAACCAAACTCCCGGCCATTGCATGTCTTGAGTTTGTGCTCGCGTGGACGAGTTAGGCCATAAAAACATTCCATCGAAAGGTAAAATACAATAGGGCTCCCGTTCCGTTCAGAAGCAGGTAACACATTTGGCCCCGTGTATAACTGCTCGTACTAAACCGCTGTACAATGAGCTATGTTGCTGTACAGGCACCAGCCAGTGCTGTGCGTCCTTTTGCTCATGAACATGTCAGAGTTGACGGGGATTGTGTTCTTTAGGGTGCTTTCAACCACAACAACTCAGCTTCTTATGATCCTTTTAGTTTTAGAATTTCTAACCTTCTCTCAATAGTTGGCCGGCGTCAGAAATATTTCTAATCGAGTCAGTTCCGAGCGTCAGCTGAAGACCAGGCTTGAGAGTTTTATGTGATGTGAATCTCAGGTGGGTGAATGGGCTCAAGAGTGATTAGCAGTCAGTATGCAAGGTCTCAACAAGACGGTACATTGTCTGAATCTATCTTTCGTTTTTGATACCACCGTGTTCTACGTTTTGACGAGCTGCGGAACTCCAGCTTTCGCATTTTCTACAGGTTGCATGGCGTGGCAGGGTTCGATAGATGAAATATTTAGCCTCATTTTTACTCAAACAAATCGATGCTTGCCTTGTTCCCTGTTCCCATTAAAAATTTGTCCTGTTCAACTTTAAACACGGATATGGACAATGAGTGACTGATATCCGATATGGCTACACTGGTCAAAACTCTGGGCGTCTGCACAGAGTAGGAAAACACCGACTTTTGCGTTCAGACGAGTATGCTACTGCACACAAGTTCTTGACGTCAGTATAATCTCAAGGACATAAGATGGGTGGGCGAACGTGTAGAGTTTTATCGCAAGCCGTTTGTTGACCTAAACGTGAGGACGTCATGATGGGTACGGGCATCATTTACTTGTTCATCATTGAGGTACCCATGGGATCCGTCCGTTAGTTTAGGTTTCATCGTGATAACGTGATATCGTTCTATTAGTTCAGTGACACAGATCACTACGGAAAGTGCTGTGATGGAATATGAATCTACTGTTTGATCTTTCTCTTGCATCAAGTTACTGCATCAGACAAAATCAATATAACTGACGGTGTTGTCTCTTTAGTTCCGGATTTATTTTTCTTTACAGGACACGTTTTAAGTTCCGAAGTCCGAGCAGTCGAACTTCGCCGTGCCGGATTCAAAGAATGCCTGTTAGAAGTTACCAGAGTCTTATCCACCTTTGAAGGTTCGAATGTTCAATGTGAGGAATTGCGGCGAACCCTACTCACACATTTACATCAGTATGACAGCCAAAAGGATGTGGAGGCTCGTGCCTATATAGCCAACGTCGCAGCAGTTGCTAATGCACTGGAGACTCAAAACCCCATCACGTCCAAGTCCAAACAGAATAGCAGGGTTCACAGAAATCCCGAACAGTTAGGATGTCGTAATCCGTGGGACATCAATCCGGAGCATCGACAGCTATCACATCCCGCATCCCAATACGACAGTCTACGTAATTCTCATTATCCACGTCACTGTCTCGGACAGTATCCCTGTTTTTCAGTCAGCCAGCAAGATTCTAGGAATGGACTACCAGGGCAGATGAATCCTACGGATGTAAGCGTTGCAAGGCTACAAACATGGTCTCAGAACAGGATGACAGCATCTTGCCACAATGAATTTGCATCGGCTCGTACTGCTGCCGTTCACAACGTGAATACATACGAAACGAAAAATTGTCCTTCAATCAACGGTAGTTATGGCACTGTTCCACTTTCGGGTAGTCAGAACTATACCAGTCAACCTCAAGCACCAAACTGCTCGGGACCAAATGAAAGTCAGTCAACATCCTCACCACCCTTTCACTCAACACCAGATGACACAGAACCCGGCAGCAGCCCACAAGCCCTAACCAGACTCTTGTATTTTAACGACACTCAACCAGAAACGAACGGAAAATATCCTTCCCGTGAAACGTCACAAATGGGTCAGCCATCAAACGATCCATCTATGCTTGCTCATTTGAATTCAATCGATTTAACTCCTGTGAAATTCACTCATTATAACTCAAGTTCATCGGCCACAGATCCAATCAGAACATGTAACCCATCAGTGCACACAGTGGAAAATCCTAACAAACAGTTGGCGTATGTGAAAGGAGAAAATATCACTAGTAACATGTTCCACACAGAGTTGGCCGTGGAGCAACCTGAAACGTTGACGGGCTATCCTCCGTATTCCAAATCCTACCAGCCCTATGGCTCCCAACTTTCAACGGCGACTGTGACCGTCAGCAATGCATTCCCAAGTTCATCTTATAACAGTGCAGGAAAGTTACAAAATTGGAATCAGGAAACAACAAACACCACCGATTTGGGGTACTCTAGCTCCTACTGGCAGTATTCATTGCATTCAATGTGACAACTTTGTACGCTCGCCAACACTTTTAAATTGATCTACTGAAAAACTTACATATGGAAGTTGGTTTCTGATAATGATCTCTGTACAGATTGAGTCTGACGTGCCAAACATGTGTTTTATTCTCTCCAAAACCGATCACGTGCTATCAAGCGACATTGAAAATAGTGTACGGTCAGTAGTATCGAACAGTGTTAACTTAAACTTGGCTTGTTGGATGTCAGAAGCAAATGACTCGAGAGAAAATAAAAAGGGAGGTTGATTGTGTTTAGGCTAAACAACATTAGGATACGGTGCACAGATTGAGTCATGCCACTGAGTCTTTGCTGTTGTTACCAGAGCTGAACATTTTGCTCAGGTCTTTCCATGTATCATTCAGTAAAGGGGCGTTCTCACCAGTCGAACACAGGTTTATGGGCTGTATATTTTCCACTTTGCGACCAAAAGGCACTGACAGCTCAGCGGTTACGACCCGAAAACCACTGATCTGGGGGCTATTGGTTAGAAACCAATCCGAGCTTTTCGATTCCTTCTGTTTAGGTTTAAGTAACCCGGAAGTACGGCGGATTTCGTGTTTATCCCGAACTGCACGACTGACATGCATCAAAAATTTGCCGCAACTGGAAGATGTCAGTTATTTAGGGACAACTTACACATCATACCTCGAAATTAATCAGCATCTGGAATACGCGCCCTCAAAAAAAGTGTCTTGCGAATGAACGGATTTTAGCCTGCAGCTCAAATTTGTCAGCTGTGGTTAACTATCGAGGCACATGCTAATTAACACGTAGAACATAGGGTTGACGGAAACTCGGGTGCTGCGCCTACCTGGTGAGCCTCAAGAAGGGCGAAACCGGTTGTGGGCTGTCGAAGAATTTTCAGCAACCTAATGAGTAGTGCATTACGAGTATGCGTGTATCGGGATATCTCAAAAGCATAGAAACTGAAACATGAGACGGCCTGGTGCAGCACACTTAGCTGCCTGGAAACGTCACAACCGAGAGATTCAGCAGAGATTCGCAAAACCAAATTTGTTTGCAAAGGAGTGCGTTTCGCTGACACGTAATGGGTTTTTCGTTGGCCCATGAAAACCAACTAGCCGGCTTTGAGATTTTCTAGTCAGCTCTACTCAGCCGGCAGTTGTGGAGTAGTAGATCGATCAAAATACTCAAGGGTTCTACTGGGTTATCCAATCAGGAATAAAACATTGGTACTTAGAACACTGACATGAAATAAATGACGTAAGCAGAGCCACCTCCGTTAACGGCCTATTACTGGGTGGGCAACTGTATCAAAAAGACCCTAAGACCGTCCCAGAGAGAAAGCATAAAAGACAATGAAACGTAAAGTTGTGCTGCCAGGACAGTTAGACTATGGATCCATTCGTAATGTACACGTTCCAGCACAAAATCACTGGCCTTTATGGAATTGTTATAGTGGCTGGTGGCCCAGTCTTGTGCTCCTCCTGAGCGGGCCACTGAAGGCAACAAGGACAGTTAGCTGACGTAGATCAGAAGGTCCAGCGGTTCACATCTTGTTTCAGTGAGCTTCCACTGTTTTGAGCCATGACAGAAAAAGTTTAAAATACCTATATTCCTTCCCATAATGGAAGTGCTGTTGAGGTAAGAGGGTTTTTCTTCGAAGAAATCTTCAATCTCTGATATACAATCGATTTCGAAGATCTCTTATGACAGTGAAGATTTTGAAGTTATACAGAGTGCTTTCTATCCGGTAACGAGTTGCGCTCTAATCGCACCGATTGTGTATGAATGACACGCGTGTGTAAGGCCTATGTTCGGTGTAAGCCTTGGTCACTCCTCTGGAATGGTTGCATTTTTCAATTCGTCACCAAGACTCGACACCGAAGGGTCCTCACTAGGTGCGGATATAAGATTGTGGACGTTTCAAATCGTTGTCAACGACAAAAACCGGTACGAAGATACGCACTAGCATTCGGAAGGTGGACAACTAATCAAAAACTCGGTTTTGAGCACGCAAATGCTCGAGAGCTCAATTCATTCGCACGCAAGCCAACGGTGTTCTGTCCCCAACAATGGATACATGCTTTCCTTTTGCAGAAGAATGATTCAGTTGAAGTTGACGATCGAGTTCTCCGCTGAGCTTGCTCCACTTAACATCGAGGCACACTTCTATTGGTGACGAAACGCTGTCAAGAAATTGTCAGGTGTATCAAATGATGAACATGAGCTGTCAAGATTATCTTCTATAAAAGATGCCGCTCGTCTACACATATAGCTGCAGCAATATCCTGAAATAACCACGTCCAAATCTAAGTACAAAGACAGCATTTATTTTTAGCGTGTACATTAAACCAGTAGCCCTCGACAGAAATCTTTGGCCATAGGAACACGGTCGCTGTTTTCTTTTGCCAATTAGACAGACTACGCAGAACGTTACTTCGTCGCAGTTGTTTTGCATCTATCCACCCATATGTTCACACTGTTTCCTGGGCAAAGACCGCTGATTATTGTTGCCGTCCACCTGGAGCAGTCCAGCAGCACAAGCGAGTATTTACAACTTTTTCTCCAGACATTGAAGTATTTCGAGTTAACTTGTAACAATAACGAGCCTAACAAGTTTGTCCGCGGAGACGAATTTCCAGTATCTAAACTACTGACCCAGTGTGGGCAGAATAAGTACTACTAACAAATGGGTAAATATATTGCTTCATCTAGCATGGTGAACGGAAGAACCGGAAGGCGTAAGCAGAGCATTCGCCATCAGCTCGATATCTGTTTGTCTGGTCATTAAGACACACCCCAAGCAGGTGTTGAAGGCAGTAGAAAACAAAACAGCTCGTCCCTCACTGGTAGGTAAGCTGACCAGGTGTTTGACAGTTCGCTCAAAACCACATGGGTAGGGGGATGGAGACTGGAGATGTGGGAGGCATGCGCGTTGGGGTCAGTCTTCAGCAGTGCAGGAGAAAGTCCGCAATGGGAACAAAAGTCTCCTCACCATGGAAAGAAAGTTTAGAGATCCATGCTGAAAACTTGCAGGTCTCACCATATGACGGCCTGTAAAAACACAAGAGACTGAAGCCCGCAATCGTATTGATCACATTTTCACCTTGCAATAGATATTGCAGTTTCGGCTATCTTTTCTGTACTTGAGCGCAGTGCCGGTTTAGTTGTCCGGAGTGGTCTGCATCACTAATATGTCTGGACGATGATACATGATGGTAACTAGTTTTTTCGAATGACCCCATTAGCAGCAAAGCTATGAACCTCGAACGCCTTGCGTGGGTTTTGCAGATGCACAGAAATCATACCACCGATAATTCGAAATCCTTGTTTTTCGGCGTAGAAGGGAGAGCTGGAGAAGAGTACCGATAGCGGATTAGCACCACACGGGTGGAAAAGAGCCAAGTGTGGATCTGACCTAACTGTACCGAACGCAACTTGCACCAAATGAGCGTCAAAAGTCCGGCCAATCACTTTCTCCTATTTTAGCATGATTGTTAAAGATGTAAGTGTAAGACCAGTGTAAGACAAGCAAAGACGCAGTGGTAAAGTTGAAATGCTGTCGGTAGTAAAAATCCTGGATGATGAATATTTTAAGGGCAATGAAGCCGATGGTGTTTAGTCAGGTCTTTCTGCTGAATTCCAAGCAAATCTAGTTTGACGACATAAGGAGAAGCCTCAGGACATCAGATTTGGCTCCATACGGTTCAGCTTCTTTTTTCGGGATATTTTATACATAAATTGTCAATTAGGATGGGCGGCGTTCAATAAAACGTTCTACTAGTAACTGTTTGTATACCGGGATGTGGTATGGAGCAGCTTCTTGGAGAGAGCAACTAGCAAGTAAAGTGAATACCTCCAGAAATACCAAAATTAAATAGAGGGAATGGATGGGGAAAATGGGTCTATTATCAAATTCGATCTGATCGGTTTTTTTAACCGTGTGTCCATTTTAAATGCGATCACCATTTTACCTTTTGGTCTGTATGCTCCTAACTTTTTTGGCCAATCGAAAAGGCCATTTCTTGAACAAACACTTGAACCGAGAGGTGTAGGAATTCCATTGAAAATAACCTCACCTCTACTTATGACGACTGAACTCTGTCAAATATATTGAAGTAAAACCGGTTGGAACGTGTTTTGCCCCTGGGACATGTCGTTTTATAATTAAACCAATCTCACTCGTCTATGTGAAAGGATCAGTTTAATGTCCCCTCGAGGGAGAGAGGTCGGTTGAATGGTCCTCTATCTGATTCAGATAGAATTTGTCACGATCTGCCTCAAGAAAGGAGTGATGAGGTGGGTAGGGACGGACGAGTTAACACGAATCTGGGTAAACACCGCTTAGTACCAGGACTTCTAGCTGAAGACTGACGTTTCATTTTTACGAGTCATCTTATACTGAACAAATAGCCTGTTCATTTCTCCGGCAAAAAGGCTAAATATTCCACGTGTGCGAATTTGACGGATTTCGTGGGGCCAGTTCCGATGGATGCGAATTGAAAGTGTGATCTTGTCCCAAACGTTTCTTCTGACTTTATTCATTGCGAATTTTTGTGCATTTCGTCCATACTGAATGAAGACGTTTTGTTTTATTTGCTTGGTTTACGAAGATTATTCAGAACAACGGGTCGAAATCGCTTGGATGACGAAGTAAGTGTGTCGAGATCAATCTAGAATTAAATGGTCCTTTCCAAGACTCATCTGGACAGTTATTGACGGTTATAGAGTCTCTATGGCCTCAGTTGACTGGCACTACAAGGTGATGTTTGTATTCAAACTTTCAAGCGGCTGGTTGCTTCTTTAAAAGTATTCATCTTCAATAGATTTGTCCTGTATGCGCGAGCAGCTCGTTGATCTTTGCGCTTTGTAAAAGGCTGTTCGAGGTACACACTGAATTGCACAATGACCTACTGCCGAAAGAAGGGGTTCATCGCCACTGTTGGTGTTTTGGCCACCGAAGCAACTTGTTCATCTTGACCGGAATCGATATCGATTACTTGAAGTAGATGAGCAGTAGAA